ATAATTTTATTTTGTGTGTTTGCTATTTTATTTTGGAGCTTTGTCATTTTATTTTGTACTTTGCAATTTTGTAATTTTACATTTAGGCTCATTTTTCAACTTCATAAAAATTTCAATTAAAAAAAGCTATTCATTCAGCCAATTTCTTAGAAAAATAATTTTCGAAGTTAAACGTTTTCAAAATTGTACATTACTCGAATGTTCAATTGCTTGAATATTTAAAATTATCCAAAAAGAAACGTTTGATCACCCACAAAAATATTATTTCTCTAACTCAGGCAAACTATTTCACCGTTCAATAAAATGTGACTTAATATAATTTAATAAAATTTAATGAAACTCGAGAGAATTGTAAATGTACGAAGTGGCTTCGTGAAAATCAGCTTTATAGCTTAAAGACATTTTATCTAGAGAGAAAAGATTGCTCGTGCAGAAGATAAATGCGACTAAGGAGTCGACAGAATTTTTCTTATTTTGCAATAATACCAGACGACGTTGAATATATGGAAGAGACTTATTGTCTTTCTAAAGATTTTAGAGACCCTAATACCCCAGCAACAAAGAAATATTACACGAGGAAAATAATGATCGATCGGCATACCGTTCTGTACGGAGACTTGTTCCGAACGTCAATTAATAATGAAATACAAAATGAAGGTCGATGGTGAACCATTAGATGGGCGCTGTTAACTTTCTCCGATAATTAAGTGCATGATCGTGTACTTTATGAAAACTTCCAAACAATCTACCTCCTGAATTAAATTCCTACCATTTGTCTCTACCTTGAAATTTTCCAAATTTTTCATATTAAAATCTTCAGAGTGAAATTTTATAAAATTATCAGACATGTAACTATAAGTAAAGATTTAGTAATAATTTGAGATTACAAAAAAAAAATATAAGTTCAAATATCCATGAAAAATTTAGTGATATTTCGCGTTCATTGAACCCAGAAATTTCCAAGTGTGACGGAAAAAAAGGGCAGACGAGAGAAGAAGGGATATTCGAGAGATTCAGGGTGCAATGACCAAGGGGGTGAAATAACGGCCAGGGCGATTTCCAATCTTTGTAGCCGAAAATCGTCCTTGATCCCTGCACGGAAAAAGAAGCACGAGCTCATAGAAGCTCGAAAACTTCTTCGTTCCAGACCACGAACAGGAGAAAGAAGAAGAAAAGGAGAAGGGGTGGGATTACAGGCAAAATACGTCGAAACGAAATCCTTTCATCCCTTAATGCCGATTTCCCTCGCTAACGGACTATCGCGTGGTTTTAACCTGACACGGAGGATCAAACGTTTTCAGAAATAATCAGAAAAATTGCGGGGAATCTACAGAATTTGAGACACTTAAGTTAAAGGGTAGTTCGGCTCGTAAAAATGTTCACCGTTTAATTTCCATAACTTTTTACTACGATCGTTCGTGTATCGAAAAGCCTGTTAAAACTGGAGAAATTTTATCTGGGGTGTTTCATTACTATATGGAATTTTTATGTTTACGATACTCGATCATAAATTTATTTAAACCGTCATAGATACACTTTTACGAGCACACGGTTTGGCAAACTGTTATCGAAAATGCATGGTCTTATAAAAGCAGGCGTACACGACAGGGAATTTTTCACGTAAACGTTAAAAAATTGTTCCAGTCAACGACGCTAAACACAGTCACCATTTTGGTTGCGCTATTTCCACGGTTTTACGCCGGCAAGAATAAACCACCCTCGAGAGGATAAAGACACGACGGTTCAGCTGCACTAGGAAGAAGTCGGAAAGTGAGCTCGATGAAGCAGCCAGCAGGGGACAGAAGAGAGACGGCGAAAAAGAAAGAGAAGATAACAGCGCAGAAATGCGGCAGAGAAATAGATTATGGCCTGCGGCCGCAAGAGGAACTCCGTTATTCCACGAGGAAAAGCAGATTACAAGATGTATCATCGCCGAAGCTTGCCAAGACTTTATGGGTATGTAACTGCTGCCATGATCGATTCGCTAATACTATGATAACATACTATAATATCATCCATTTAAATTTCATACTTATAAAAAAACCTTTATGGACTAAAAATAATTACCTCATCAAATATTTACGAAATTAATTTACGGTGCACGACTTTGCTATTTTTGCGGCTGGAAGATACTGCATATTGTTGAGATGCCCCGGGATATTTTCCACGGGCTTTCCGGGCAACGGTGTTTTTCCAAAAACGTCTAAAAAAAATATCGGATACGTCCATGAATTCGATCCGTTGCATCGCCAGTGAAAAAGTTACTCATTGTTCGAACCAGCAGTTTTATAATCCACTACTCGATAACTGAAGCTGCAATGTATGAAATGTTGAATAACGTTGTGCAAGATTTACAATGGTCTATGTCTTTGATTTTTCGGAGTCAGCTTTATTGTGTACGTTAAAACGAGCTTCTTTCTTCATATATAAATCATAATTGCTGCAGGGCAGTAGAATATGCAGCTACATGGTCAGACAGACAGTATCTATCATAGAAACAGTCAAACTAGTAATATGTGTATCCTAAGTAACGAGACAAGTAGTATAAGTATATGTAGATAACCAGACAAGTAGATATTCCATATAGTAAGACAAGGTGAATGGTCAGACAAGTAGTATGTACCTTAATTCGCCAGACAAGTAGTATAAGCACCTTAAATAACCAGACAAGTAGATCTTCCATATAATCAGACAAGGGGTATACCAATACTGAATGGTAAGACAAATAGTATGTGTCACCACATTAAGTCAGACAAGTAGTATATACCCTGACTGATCAGACAAGTAGTATAAGCACCCTTGATGGTCAGACAAGTAGATCTCGCATGTAGTCAGACAAGTGATATATGTATGGTGTGTGGTCAGACAAGTGGTATATGTCACTACAGAAAGTCAGACAAGTAGTATGTACCCTCATTGACCAGACAAGTAGTATGTACCTTGACTGACAAGACAAGTAGTATGTACTCCGATTGCGCAGACAAGTAGTATGTACCTTCACTGACCAGGCAAGTAGTATGTACCCTCACTGACCAAACAAGTAGTATGCACCCTCACTGACCAGGCAAATAGTATATACCATGATTGACCAGACAAGTAGTATGTACCCTGACTGACCAGACAAGTAGTATGTACCTTGACTGACCAGACAAATAGTATACACCATCATTGACCAGACAAGTAGTATGTACCCTGACTGACCAGACGAGTAGTATACACCCTGATTGACCAGACAAGTAGTATATACCCTGACTGACCTGACAAGTAGTATGTCCCCTGATTGACCAGACAAGTAGTATGTTTCCCCATTGATCAGACAAGTAGTAAATCCCCTGAATAATGAGACAAGTAGATTTTCTACGTAGTCAGACATGTGACACGCCACCTATTGGTGGTCAGACAAGTAGAATATGATCGTAGCTTAACAGAGAAGTTGTGCAGCGGTGAAAAGTAGATTCAGAATAACTTCTGTTATCATTTACGCTTGCCACAGCATACCCTTAACTTGTCACACCGAGTCTATTCAACAACGCTGAAACAATAGGGGTTGGTAGTCGGTTTTGTTGCCAACGAATGAAGTGTCTCTTAATAATGGACTGCTTGAACGACTTGGTTAAGGACATAACTCTGAAAGTGACCGAGAAGAAGAAGAAGAAGAAGGAAAGTAGGATGATCGTCTTTTGGACGTTGATGCCAACAGATCGCGGGGGTTGGTAGCGAACCGGAAAACGGAAACTGGCAAGCGAGACAGGGACTCACAAGGAGAGTTGCCTTTGTTCTTGGCTGGCGTTTTGTTTCAGGATTACGAGCTTATGAAGTATTCGCGTTTATCTGCGACAATTACATGCCCGGGGGGCGAAACGGGGCGAGACGAGGGTGCGAGCCAACTGGAGCGAGACAACCGAAAGCGGGACTGGTGTCTGTTAATCCACGAGCGGTTCTGCTGATTTCGAATTAATTATCGCGTTTAACTGCTGCTCATGTTTAATTCCTATCAGCACTTCTGGCTATTTTTGCTGTAAACAACGTACTGAGATTTGCTTGTCCAGTCTTCTCGAATTACGTTGCAGATTTATTAACATTCCAGTACAGATAATTCGATTACAACCCCTTGTTGACTGAAGGTTCAGAGAAATCGAATTGTGTGTTTGAAAATAAATTTTAAAGCAAGACTTTAATTGACTATTTAACGTCGTTAATGTAACGCAATTGGTGCAAAGAAAACGAAGAAAAGAAAAATTAAAGCGTTTAAACGTCTTAATATCTGTTAGATGAATGTAATTCTGTTAACAAGAAGAAGCCCGTCGTCTGTAATTTAATTAGAGACACGCTTTATAATTCGGTTGTAGCATAATTACACGATTAAAGGCGAAGGAGAAAGAATAAGGGGAAAGTAATTTGAAGGGTATGGAACTGAAATTTCGAATTCACCCAGCTAACATCGAACATAGCGGGCCAGTTTCTAATTAGATGCTTCGTGTTCCCAGCGATGTCTTCCAATTTACATTTAATTAAATCTATTCAATCTTCCGGTGTTTTCGTCATATCACGTACAAAACCGGTTATCTCTTCCCTCACGTTTTCTATTACCAGCGAAATCATGTTAAATTAAACTGGATCACTCCACTTTCATCGCATTTCCCTAATGTTTATGCTGTTACCTCCCGATCAATTTTAATCCACCGTTCTTATTTTAGCTTCCGTATTGCAACGCGTTTACTATAATAGCGATGCATCATTATCAAGACGTGCACGATGTTTAAATAAAGCTCCGCTTAATCATTTTCCAATGCACTTCACCCGTAAGAATCCTACCCTCGATAGCAGTGCAAGCCTGAAAAATGCGGTTACTATTTAAAGAGGGTACGCGCTTATAACCGACAATGGCCAAAGGGTTGATGTAATCCTAATAAAAATACACCGTCGACGTAAAGCGATTAATAATAAACCTGTTACCGATAAACTAATAATAAATGCATGATTTAGGTCGATCAACTCACCGCATTTTCGATATCACCGTGGGTGTGAATTCCAGTTGACGGAATCCTAACTCTTGCGGTCTCACGTCATCCAGGCTACTGTACCTGATGTACGTGCAGGGTGGCGTGGATATACCTGAAACAGAAAATAGTAAGTCGGTTAGTAGGTGGGACAATTATTTTTAATATGCTTTGTCGCGTTGCGTTATAATATTCTGCTTACGCAACTGCTAACTGAACTGTCTCATTCCACTCGTCTGACCACCTACAGTTCATTAGACTTCCTGGAATACATTCACTTAATTTTATTTGTTTGACTTTTTACAGTTCGTTCTATTTCCCTCATCACCTATCACCTAGTCTACTTGTCTGACTATCTACGGTTCTTCTACTTGTCTGACCACATGTTACTTATTCTACTTGTCTGACCACCTATCACTTATTCTACTTGTCTTACTGCCTACAGTTCTTCTACTTGTCTGACCACCTACCACTTATTTTACTTGTCTGACAGCCTACAGCGTATTCTACTTGGATCACCACCTACCACTTATTCTACTTGTCTGACCACCTACAACTGATTCTACTTGTCTGACCACCTACTACTGATTCTTCTTGTCTGACCACCCATCACTGATTCCACTCGCCTGACTACCTGTGGCTTGTTCTACTGCTTTGACTGCCTATAGCTTATTCTACTTGGCAGACCACCTACCACTTATTCTACTTGGCTGACCACCTACACTTATTCTACTTGTCTGACCACCTACTACTGATTCTACATGTCTGACCATCTACTCCTGATTCTACTTGTCTGACCATTTACTACTGATTCTACTCGCCTAGTTATCTATAGCTTGTTCTACTGGTCTGACCAGACACACTTCCTATGTTGCTTCAGAACCTAACTAAGGTTCTTTCTTTTTATTTCGATCATTGTCTTGATTGCCTAAGTAACTTGTCTGCCTGTCTACAATGTCTAAGATACTTGATTGAACTTCAAACTTATAAATTTGTTATAAATTTGATGTCACACTCAATCTCTTATATATTTTCAGTAAATTTTTGCATAAAACACAGGATAACGATTATCTTCACACGTGTATAGTTCTACGAGCAAGTTCTCTTTCACGCTTCAAGATAATCAAAGCAACCATAATTTCGATTTTCAGTCTCATAGTCAACGGCTTCGAATCGCCCGTCACTCAACAGGTCGCGTACGCTTCAAGATTATGAACCGTATCTCCGTGAAACGCTATCTCTTTGTCTCCTCGCAATTCCGATTGGGGCAGATCGGCTAACTTCGTATTTAAATCATGTTCCACGGCATGAAATCGATCATCGGCCCGTTTTGGAGTTCTGCCGGACCCGGCTTTGTTCGCTGGAAGCGCGGCGAAAGGGTGGCGCTCGAATAACGAGCCAACTGCGTTAACGTCGAAAAATCAATAGGGTCGCGTACATTCCTCATAAATAAATATGAATATCTCCCCATGAACGAGTATCGAACGTAAATTTATTATAACCACGACTGTACGAGGCTTCAAAATCGAAACGATCGATTCAAATTTCGACTATGGATGATACACGCGCGTTCACGACTCGACGCTATGAACTTGTAAACGGTTTGTAGCTCGATTTTCTTCCATCGTAGACCTTCGTACGAATAATCGCTCGATAGGAACGTCTTACAGAACTCTTGACGACCGTCTTACAGGAGAAATAATTAACAAAGGGAATTTGAAAGACAAGCACAACGGGGCCTCGCAGTGCAGTTTAATCTTCCTGGAACTTCGTTATGAATTAAATAAAGCCTCCCTTAAACAAAGAAACGTTAATGAGCAAAAGCTACGACAATGAGGGGGCAAAGAACAACTGCGACAAATTAAGAACAAAGAACAACTGCGATGATAAAGTTCGTTGCAAAAATACGCGTTCTTGAAACACCGAATTTGTTTCCTATCAAACCTTCTTCCAAGAACGTTGACAGTTTTTAAAGTTCTCCCGAAGGGAACAGAGGGTTGTGAAATAAGGGTGTTCGCAGAAGTCAAATTTCCGTATCGCAAAACGACAGGGATGAGCTGACGATCGTTCGGGGGGATGAAACGGTAACTTCGAGTCGACGAGTTTCGAAAGCGCTTGCAGCACTTTTTAACCCCAGAGGCTTCAAAATGCGAAACCGCACTTTAAATCCTACAAGTCCTGTTTGAGATGATCAGACAAGTAAAATAAGTTGGTCAGATGAGTTTTACATTCTTGAGGGAGCAATAAAAAATATTTCCGTGTCTGACTTATGATTTACCTTAACTACTGAAAATAGATTCTTGACGTTGTTTTACGATTTTTTCACCTTGTACCATTTTCTGGGTATTAATTTTTGTAAAATAGAATGTTTTTTGAGGATTTTTTGCCGAAAACAAGGAAGTTAACTTTTCAACCTGCCTCGCACCTGGTGCGAAAGTGCCTCATCGATTTTATAATCTCCATGCCCCCTTTTCCGTCTCCCGCCCTTCACAGGCTATTACCTCTTCCGCCTCCCCGTCCCTGATAACTCTCTGTCCCGAAATTATCTCCTTCTCTCTCCCTTCCTCTCTCTCGCTCTTTCTCCTGCTCGCTCTTTTTTTTCCGAGCCGTATTATGTTCCGCTGATTCGCGGTTAATGAGACGAGAACAGACCCGTGAGACTATTCTGTATAAACCGACACTGGTCGGGTATTATGGGTAAAAAAAAAAGAAAATGAAGAATTCCGCTTGCCTTGCAACACTTTGCCGAGAGTTTCGAGGACGAGGCGTCCAGGTGAGCGCTGCGAGGACGAGCAGTGATAAATTCTCGTTTAATCGTTTCGCGCTTTAGAACTTTGCCGAATCTGCTTACTTGCTGCTTTAATGATTGATGCGAACACTTCTTACGGTACACTGAATTCTTTTAATTGCTTCGAAGGGTAAAAGCTCCTGCAGTCGCGCAACTTTATTTTGTTGAGTGTTTTTTGAACTTTTATTAAACTCGCATCACGATCGGAAGGTACTGTGATCCGGTGCTCTGGTATTAGGTCCATATCTATTCGAGTCGGAAATACAAAAGCCCTAGATCAAAATGCAGTGTTGTATTCTAAAATATTTATAACTTTGTTGCCTCGAAATATACACATTCATTAACAACTAACGCAACTTATCTTTACATAATAATACAAGCAATCATCTCAAAATACTATCAGTAATTTAATTTAAAAATTTTACATAAAGATTGAAATATTTTTCCATTTTTCTTGAAACCACCCACATAACGCAAACGCTTAATAAAATATGAAATTAATGTATCGAATAGTCAGTTAAAATGTCGAACTTCAGAATCGTGTTCAGCAGATAACCTTGCAGCATCGAAAATATACGCAGTTAAATATTCATGTCATTCTTCGAGGGTTACAGTAAACCCAATAAACTTCTCTGTTTCCTTTGACGCAGGGACCGAACGGTCGGCCCTGAGTTTGCATGAGCTTCTATCTATTTATTCATCAATCTACGTCTACCAGTGACCTTGCCTATTTACTCCTCGTTAATGTTTCACGCTCGATGCGACCGTATCCCTAACTTTGCAGCCTTTGCTACGTTCGTCCTTGAACTCGAGTGCTCTTCAACGTCGATTGCCTCGTGCAGACTTAAAATCGTTCAAATGCACACTCGGTTGTAGGAAATTTACCTTCTGCGTGGCTTCGAGGGAAACTTTTAGGTGACTTTATTCATTGCGAAACTGTGTCGTAGCAGCTCAGTTTTTGTAAGAAAACATTTAGTAAGAAGATTCTGAATAGCTATCGAGAGCAATTGATAACTTTTATTAAGAGATACGATTATTTGAAGGTCAATAGTAAGATTATTATTGATTTTAGAACTTAAATTTGACGCACTGCAAATTTGACGGACCGCAAATTTGACGCACCGCAAGTTCGACGCACTGCAAGTTTGACGCACCGCAAGATCAACGCGCCATGAATTCGATGCACCGAAAGCTTAGCGCGTGACAAATTGAGGGAGTGGGATAATCAACGCTCAGTCAATTTCACGCACCGCAATTTCAACGCGCCGCAAATTCGACGCGCCGCAAATTTAACGCACCGCGAATTTGACGCGCTGCAAATTCGACGTGAGGTAAACTCAGCGCGTGATAAATTTAGCACTTGACAAATTCAACGCGCGATGAAGCCAACGCACCGCAAATTCAACGCACCGCGAATTTAACGCACCGCAAATTTAACGCACCGCAAATTCAACGCACCGCGAATTTAACGCGCTGCAAGTTCGAAGTGAGGTAAACTCAGCGCGTGATAAATTTAGTACTTGAAATCTGACGCACCGCAAATTCAACGCGCGATGAAGCCAACGCACCGCAAATTCAACGCACCGCAAATTCCACGCGCCGCAAGTTCAACGCACCCCAAATTTGACGCGCCGCAAGTTCGAAATGAGGTAAACTCAGCGCGTGATAAATTTAGCACCTGACAAATTCAACGCACGATGAAGCCAACGCGCCGCAAATTTAACGCACCGCGAATTTGACGCGCTGCAAGTTCGACGTGAGGTAAACTCAGCGCGTGATAAATTTGGCACCCGATAAATTCAATGTGCGATAAAGCCAGCGCATTGCAAATTCAACGCACTGCAAATTCAACGCACCGCAAATTCCACGCACCGCAAATTCTTCATGAACTCAGCACATAATAAATTCGACGCATGACAAATTCAACGCATGAAGTCAACGCACGGCAAACTTGACGTATTGAAAATTCGTCACCCAGTATCACAATACACGAAAATAGAACGGAATACAGCCCGAGGTGTTACAGCGCACATTATAACGCACGTCGAAAACTCCAGACAGAGTAAACGGCCGCGGAAATTTATCGGATTATAATGCGCCACTAATTGAACTTTTAATGAAACACCCGCAGAAATGCAGAAGGTGGTACACGCAGCGTGCAACGCGCACCATTTTTGGGGAGGCACCAATTTTGCGAGATCGTGCGACGCGTTAACAATTAATTAATTGAATATATAGCAAGTGTGAGACGAGGTGTACGTGTCGGATGAAATTTCCTCGTGAATATTTCGAGCGTGCAACGCGTTACAGTGCACACGCGTGTTACAGTCTGATGCACGTACAGCCGGACAGGGTAGATTTTCATGAAGCTTTTGAAAATCCAAATTAGCCAGACCGGTGACAGGTGTGTCATCAGGCGTAATTTAAAAGCGGAACCGTGCTGTTCCATGAAATAACCGGCGATTTTAACACGGGCCCAGGGAAATACTTTTTTTCTTTTAGGGATTCTAGATTTACCGATGAACTTTAACAACGGTTTAGTGATACTCTTGCGGTCTGGTGCTATTTAATAAATTTTGAGGTAATTAACATTCCAGACGTTCAAGAATTTTTCGTGGTACAATTATCGGATATGAGAGGCAAGAGGCTTCTGGAATATATCGAGCCCAGAATTTAGCGAAATCGAGCTATGCTTTTATCAGGATTTGGGTTGTCTGCGCGGATTTGTAGCCCGCGACATGCCAGACTACTGGCACCGGAACGCCGCGACGATAGACCGGCCTAAGATGGCTGTAAAGACGCTAGTATCTGGCAGATGGTGGTCGTGTGGATGGTATATAATATTCATGCAGCGATATTGCATCTTGAGTGGTGCCATTAGAGCGAAGCGTCAGCCGCCGTGGTCTCGTAGCGGTTTGTTGTTCTCCTGGCGCCTTGCTCGCTATTCAACCACCCCTATGGATCTCTCATTCCTCGACAACCCGT